GTCATTCAACGCGCTGTGGAAAAGACGTTGCTCGGAATTTCTCTATACACGCAAGTGCAGAAAAGAATCCGGAGTTCCGAGCTCCGTCGACGAACGAAAATCAGGGATACCGTTGATTACGCCAAGAAATCGAAGATCAGGTGGGCCGGACACGTTATGCGATATAATGACGACCGTTGGACCAGGCGTTTACGGACTGGATCCCTCGGGACGTCAAGCGAACACCAGGACGGCCGTCAACGAGATGGTTAGACTTCTTCACGAGAGCTCTGTTCGAAAGTAATGTTTTGCCCCCTGTCCCTCAAGCGAGTGTGATTCACTAGACTACTCTGGCTCGCGACAGGGACAAATGGAGACGTTACTGGGGCCCGCTCGAGGAAATCAACGATCAACGGGAGTACAGGTGATACAGGTGATGTATTTAAGCGGTTTTTAGGCCCTTGAAAACAAAACAGCATATCCATTGTGAAAATTTGGAATAACGAAATGTCTTTTCTACTTATATACCGATGGGCTCAGCAAGTAGAAATTTGAACTTTGCAGTGAGGATAGCTCAATAAGTAATGAATAGGAATAACAACATTGAAAAAATGAAGCTGGAACCCCAAGAAAACAATGGAGTATACAGCAAATTGAAAGCCTCACTGCGCTTCGTGACATTTCGGTCTTGATCGATATATCGATTTCTGACTGGTTATGGTACTGCTTTGGCATCATCTAATTCTCAGCTAGTCGTAAAACATCAACACACCGATGGTGTGGTTCCTTTGGCAATGAATGTGGCAAGCCGTTTGCGTGATGTCGTGGAGGTAGTGTCAGAGAAAAGGAATCCGCCAATGTCTCTGAAAGTACTTGAACCAACTCATAGGGTTCTCATTACAACATCTGATTTGTAGAAAAGAATACCATCCTGACCTCAAAAACTGACTGGATCCGAAAAAAAAAATGAAATTTGGATGTATTCAAGCTGCGAGGATCTAGAGCGCGCAGCTGATGGCTATACGACATCCGGGGACCATGAAAAGTTACACCAGGCTTTTGTTCACAAGCGAGTACTTTACAAAGAACTGTGAATTGGTCGTCCCTGTTTTTGGGGACCTCAGTTACTCCATCTTTTCCCCATCGAATGTTTTGAAGTTATAACGTTCTTTCATCCACCAGTGATTAATTCTCTTCGATAAATCCCTCACAAAACCCCAGTTATAGGGCGGTCAAAGTTATGAGAAAATCCAGTGTTCACTGCTTGAAGACATAGTTAACACTAACCTTGAGATATCTATCTCTTCGGGTCGTGAAACAGAAATGGGGGTACAGAAGTGTGCGCCGCAGGCGGAGAAAGCGAAAAAAAAAACGGTGCGATACGGTATACCTGCATCGGAAAATGGTTTCGATTTTCCCACTGATTAGAGCCACAATCAGCTGTTTGAATTTTCGATATCGAGATCCATCATGAACGGTGCAGTCGCTACAACGTCGTGAAAACAGTCGTGTAAACACGACTGCCTTTGAGTGTGGTCATCAGCACGGTCTAGCTGTCTCTTCAAGTGTTTCCTATGGCCTATCTAGATCAATTTTGGACCCGACGACCCTTAAGCTTCATGTTCGGAAAACAGAGATTCATCCCAAAAAGACAATGTGCATTCGAAGCCAAACATTTGGTGTGCTTGTAACCCTCTCGATTCTCGGTAATCCTACGTTCTCTGTCAAATAAGAGCGATGAGGCCTCCTTACGTTCTCTATCGAATGGGAGCATCTGTTGGCGACAGCTAGTTTCGCTTGTAAATGCGTTCACGTGTTCAACTTCCATTGAAGGTTGCAGCATCGATGAAAACGTGTGTGTCTTTGAGAGCCAGTCGGCACCTAATTTTTTGTCTCACATAGAGTTGAGGGTGACATCAATCAAACATACAAGGAGGGATGAAGGGCTCAGTTGACCTAGGTGGTTCCCGATTTGGTACTCAACCATCAAATCATATGCGCGACAGTGTGGAACTTCGCACTACATCACTTCACTCTCCGCCTTATAGAGAATATAAGGAGAACAGGATGAATGTCCCTACGAGAACGGCATTTACTCCTGATAGTGGCCATTAAAAGTAGCCCTCCTCGAATAAAGTGTGAGTCACCGAAGTGCAAGGGGGTGTATCTATTAGGTGGCTCACTACTTTTGAATTCAATGCGAGCGGCGATAAAAGGAACTAACTTAAGTGGGGAATTTAGCCCAAATGACCTGTGATCTGCTTTTACTGCAGTTGAACTGGCAGTCATTTTGGCGGACTTGAAGTCGTAAAAATCTTATCGAGCCAAAATGCGTCAGCAGTGATCCTCACTACAAATACTGGTCCGATAATATTGGCACCACACCCATGAGTGATAACCCAAAACAATTCTCTCCACTATCATTGTCTCTTCGCTTTCCCAGGCGGAAGTTGTTATATTAGAGCCAAAATCAGTTTTTTTGACGTTTTTTTTTCTCCGGAGTAATCCAGGTAATTTCCTCTGGGGACAGCCATTTTTTTTGAAGGGTTTGTTTGGCAAAAAAATGGATGCTCAGTATCTTATCCAGACTTGATCGAAAAGTACTTCAATACTTCGCATTATTTTTCAGGCTGGTTGAGACTTAGGCGTTATCTTCAGCAGTGAAAAACAAAGGTGTGACAAAGGGGAATAATAAAAAACGTAGGAAAATGTAAAGTTAGGTTGACATTCAAACTTTGAAGTGCTATTTGAGGGCTAATCAATTATTCAATTGATTTCCTCCTGACTGCTCAAAATGCATTGGCATTATCTGATAAGGGCATTGATTTCAACTTTGGAAAAAGCTCAATAACTACTGCTGATCCCGTCCCTCCGAGAAATCTTTTTTTTTGTTTTAATGAGAGCCAAGGGATTGAGACCTTAGAAATAGCTCAAGCCATATCCAATTAATATCCACTCTTTCCTTTGCTTTTCTTAACTCATTTCTTTCATATATAATACCATTTTTCCGTCACTTTTTTGATAATTTTTATCTGACTTTGCCATAATTTCTGAGGTTTTCAGTATGCGGTTTGCCATACTCGTAGCTTTACTCGGGCTTGCTGCCGCCACCGTTCATCAGCATCCTTTGATGTGGAGAAAATCGAGAAAGGTAAGATTGTCAAGAAGTTCTGAAGAGTTCCAGTTTCGATCGCTAACTTTCTGATTTATACGAGGAAGAGCTATTTTCCGAGTTCAGATTCAAATGATCGAACGAGGAGAGTATGCCGCCTATGTGGAGTACCGCAATGCTCTCCGTGCAACGACGAATCTAGCTAGTCTTGGACAAGCGGTGAGTCAAATTTTCATTTCCGCGAGAATTATATCGAGGAATTTGTGACCTTGATGGGGTGGGTTGCCTATACAAAAGTCAAACTGTTTCTTCTAGCCGTCTTTCACTCTACAGGTATCCGACTATGGAGACTACGAATACGTTGGTAACATTACCATTGGAACACCCAATCAGGAGTTTGTCGTCGTGCTCGACACTGGATCAGCTAACCTCTGGGTACCAGATACCTCTTGCGAGTAAGTCGCTTGATATGACTCCTATCAAACAGCATGGTCATGGTCTTAAGTGATCAGTAAAGTCCCGTGTGATACACTCTGAAGTAAACCAAGTGATTCCCTTCCTCCACTATCATTATGAAAAGTATGGGTCATGAAAAAGATAGAACTCATTTGAGTGGTTCATCAGATCTCACCTTCAGAGTAAATACTACAGTGACAGATATGGCTTCAGCTAGAAGAGGTAGGTACCCAGCAAACAGATATGCTATTTAGCCAGCAGTTGGAAGAGCATCTTCCTTTTGGAAAATTTTTATGGGGCTAAGTGGAAGTTTCTGAACGGGAAGCTCTAAAGGAACTGCTCGGGGCTCTTTAATTTTTCTTTTCCCAAATCTCTTAAGTAAGTCGTTACACCTTCCGATGAATGAATCAGTTCGACTGCCTCGATGCTACAACACCTGTTATCTACACTTGCTGTTAGTACTTACGGCTTGGAATTCTTTATGACTCATCAGCGTCGAATGAGTGATTCAACCATTGTTGTGATTACTTGCTGCAACTAATCTTTTACTTTTACCTGGGTGGGAAACATTTAGTAACTCACTGTAAGGGCTGGTATGTTGACCACGAAAATATCAACTTCAGCTCCTCCTGCAACAAAAAGCACAAGTTCGTTTCAACATCATCGAGCAGCTTCGTGAAAAGTACAAAGACATGGACCATCCAGTATGGCTCTGGGGATGCCAAAGGTGTGCTTGGCACTGACACTGTCAAGGTAAGACTAATCAAGACATCCGGATTAGTCCGATCAAGTGACTCACCAGTCATTTTGCGAAAGCTTGAAAAGACCTCCTAGGCTGAAAAGAATTCGAATTAAAGATAATTCCTTCAGCAGGAGTTATCTCCGTTTTCTACAATTTCAGTTCGGCGGATCCAGCGAACAACAGCTGGTCGTGCCCTCAACCACGTTTGGTCTAGCCACTCACATTTCGGCTGATTTCAAGAATGTGAGCTTTTTCAGTAACTTATAGCAACCTTAACTTAACCGCAGACCTCTAAAACGATCGTTCCAGGACCCAACTGATGGTATCCTAGGACTCGCCTTCACATCACTTGCAGTCGACAATGTTGTACCCCCGCTTATTAATGCCATCAATCAGAGTGAGTTTCAGGAAATTCAGGGAACAACGGCGACTTACTGAAAAGTATATCAGCTCCCTGGGTGCCCCTGAGTATAGTGTCCACAAAGAGTTTTAGCAAATGGCTCAATAGGAACTGTCACTCGGGAATACTAAACACGCAAGGGGATTGGAGCCGGGCTTGTCATTCTTTACAATATTTTTGTCTTTTTATGCTAGCCCTGACTAGTTCTCTCTTGGCATAATAAGAACACTTGACCGTTTTCACAGCGAGAAACTTTTAGCTAATCATAACATAATCGAAAACGCTTTTGTTCAGATCTGCTTGACCAGCCACTATTCACCGTTTGGATGGAACACCGTGGAAAGCTCGAAGGAGCGCCAGGAGGTGCCTTCACTTACGGAGCTATCGACACAACCAATTGCGGGCCAGTCATCGCCTACCAGCCGCTCTCTTCTGCCACTTACTTTCAATTCAAGGTTCGACTAATTACTGTGAAGTCGAAATGGGACAATCCCTAGCCTGGAGCAATTTCCAGATGTCCGCCATTGGGATGGGATCTTACAAAACGAACACAGTTTATGAGGTGATCTCAGACACTGGTACTTCTTTCATCGGTGGACCTAAGGCAGTGACTGATCAGCTTGCCAGTGCTGCTGGAGCCAAGGTACATCTTCAAAGACCAGGTGTGATGTTGAGCCACCAGAAATTCTTGTTTACTTCAGTACAGCGCCATAGAGGAATCTTACACTATCGCATGCAATGCCAAACCGTCTACTCTCGATATAACCATCGGCAGTAATGTATACTCCATTGACCCTGTCAATTATATCGTCAGCGTGAGTTCAGACTTACTTAGTTGTTAATCCATGTGGAACCCCCTCACAGAGTATAGAATTAATATTTTACTACTCCAGGCTGGTACCAACAAATGCCTTTTCGCGATCTTCCCCTTCGAATTCGGCGGATTTGGTCCATCATGGATTCTTGGCGACCCCTTCATCCGTCAGTTCTGCAACATCTACGACATTGGACAAAAGCGGATGGGATTTGCACCTTCACTTCAGAAGTAGATTATTGTACATATATGTAAAGATAAGTGTAAATCAAATATATTTTAAATATAAACGTTATGAGAACGCTTATATCTTTTGACGACTTCAAATTGTGAGCTTTAAGCTGAGACAAAAGCATCAAGATCACATCTCACGATTATTTTGAGATACTCTTTTTGAATTGCAAAGTGGAAGTGCTACTGGAGTATCGTGCATCGGTAGCGAAAAGGGCGAGGAAATTCGCTGACTCTGTAACAAAAAAGCCTCTCAAAAATAGTGAAAGTAAGGTTGTACTAGATTACATTAACAGCAATGACATAGAGGGGGCATTTGTACAAAGTCTTAGTTGTTGAAATTTTGTGAGGAGCTGACTTCATTCAGCCAAAATTGTCCAAAACTGCCTTCCCTTTGTCGCCATGGGCCATGACTAGTTCAAAGAAGTTCCAGCATGCGAAACCATCGTGAATGGTGCAGTTCCATTCTGGTAGAACTCGTTCGCCTTGGGTGTGATATAAGCCGTTACAGTCTTTGAGCCATTATAACGCCTTATCTAGGCCTTTTCCGATCTGGCAACGGTACATATGGTATACAGGAAGACCACAGATTCATTCTCGTGGGGTATCTCAAAAACTATTTTCATCGTGAACTGCGTCTTTAAGTAATTCTGTACATTCAAGCCCGTGAAAATGAGAAAATTCCAAAGTAACACTTATTGTGGGCGAGCCATACTACTCCAATTTTGGCTATTAACACTCACCCATGGACTTTGCTCAGCTGATATAGCGATATATACTCGGTTAATATTAAATTACCTCTTCTGAAGTGAAGCAATGAACAATTTGGAAAACTATGATTACCAAAGAAGCAACTCTCTCAATACCGAGGCGTTTTCACAAGTGAGGGGCAGAGCAGAAGAAATGGCTAAGCACCACGAGTCTAAAAGATTCCGCCAGTTCATTCAAGAGTGATGTTGCATTCTGCCAATGAGCCGTGTACACGAAGTGTTGGTTCCCGAATTCCTTGACTTCTCAAGGCCCTGTCCAATAGTGAAAAAACGGAGATATAGAAGCATATGTAGTTGATCCCATGAAAATAGTGTTTTGAAATGTAAC